ATAAAAACGCTGGCTGAAGCTTTATGCAAAAACACCACATTAACTGACTTTAATTTAGGTTGGAATAGTATTGGTGAATCAGGGGGAAAACACTGGCTAAAGCTTTATGCCAAAATACCACCTTAATTAATTTAGATTTATATTACAATAAACTAGGTGAATTAGGAGGAAATGCACTGGCTGAAGCTTTATGCAAAAATGCTTCCTTAACGTATTTAAATTTAAGTAATAATGTAATAGGTGAATCGGGAGGAAAAGCACTGGCTAAAGCTTTATGCAAAAATACTTCCTTAACGAATTTAAATTTAAGTGGTTATGTAATAGGTGAATCGGGAGGAAAAGCGCTGGCTAAAGCTTTATGCAAAGATACTTCCTTAACAAATTTAGATTTAAGTAGTACTTTAACGAATTTAAATTTAAGTGGTACAGTAATGTAATAGGTGAATCGGGAGGAAAAGCGCTGGCTGAAGCTTTATGCAAAAATACTACCTTAACTGATTTAAATTTAAAGGAGAATAATCTTGGCGAATCTGGAGGCTAAAGCTTTGTGCAAAAATACCACCTTAGCTAATTTGAATCTGAATAGTAATGAATTAGATAAATTAGGAGGAAAAGCATTGGCTGAAGCTTATGCAAAAATACCACCTTAACTGATTAAATTTAACCTTGGTGAATCGGGAGGAAAAGTAATGGCTGAAGCTTTATGCAAAAATACCACCTTAACTTATTTAAAGTTAAAGAAGAATAATCTTGGTGAATCGGAAGGAAAAGCACTGGCTGAAGCTTTATATAAAAATACCACCTTAGGTAACTTAGATTTAAGGGAGAATAATATTGGTGAATTAGGAAGAAAAGCACTAGATGAAGTAATAAAGATAAAGATTAAACGATCCATTTGGTATTGTAATGAAGATAAATATAAATATTGTTAGCGGCAAAATGGACCACAAAAGTTACGTCTGAAACGGTGCCCATGACCCCCAAAGAATCGAATGACGAACCTCCTGCATGCAAGACCGTGGAAATGCATAAAACAATGCCCCAGTATGCATTGACGCAGTAGATATCATAGTGCGAAGCCTCTGTTAGACCCGAAAATTTTACTAAAGTAACGCATGATTTATCGCACGTGCATTAATGTAGTGAGGCTGGAAATTAGAAACCTCGATTTGAAATATGAACCCTACCAAAATACACTTATACATTTTTATTATCAGTCACGACATTGGTCTGTTGGTATTGGTAAAAACCAAGTTTCAGCTTATAAATATTGTGCGTGAAAATTAGAATATACATATAGTTGCATCAAATTAAAATCTGAGATGCGTAACGGTAAGGTTAAAACAACAAACTCGCATTGAATTGACATTGATAATTTATACAAGTAATGATAAAGCAAAATAAAATCTCGATTACTTTGGGCTTTATAACTTACTAGTCTCTTTACAAAAAACTGTCAAAATTGAACTTGCTAAAAATAAGCAATTTAACGGTGCTGATAATGTACTATTAAAATACCAATTTGTGCAAATATAAGCATTTTATTAGCATTTTATTACGATATTTTAATTTTATAAATATATTTGTCAATTATTATGCAAATAAAATGCTAATATTGGCAATATATTATCAATATTTTAGTAATAATAAAGGCCTAAAAATTACCATTTCATATGATCATGTGAATTTTTTTTGCCATGATATTTTTTACGCATCCTTTGAATGTGTGCCAGGTTTGTGGCGCAGATGTCCTGAATTACAAATTAGATTTCAAGATCAGGTGTAACGTAACACGATCAAGAAGATTCAAAACAAACGTTCGTTTTGTCAGAAATCGCTCATTTCTTAAAAATCTGCATAGGAAACCACCTTTATTGCTTTAACAAAAAGTTCTCGCTAGACAATTTTACTATACAAACACCCCTTCCTAACCCTAACCCGAAACTTAACCCTAACATAAACGAACTTCGAAGAATTTTTGCTGCGCCATAAACCTGGCACACATTCAAGAAAAGCATTTTTGCACATGAAATTACGTAATCAGTTTTGCAAAATATCATAGAAAAACTTCACATGGTCATATTAACTATCGGATATCATACGTACGACAAATAGGAGTTAATTTCGCTCATGTGTTGCTACGCAGCACATGGAGTGACATTAATTCCGATAAAAAAAAAAATCAACTGTTATTTTTTGTCGTCTGTCCAATAATGTACACATATATTGCTTATTATTTGCAATATAATTGCATATCTCGAAATTATCATATTTTTGTAAGGCTCATTTTAAGATTTTAAAGATTAAGTCCGGGTAAGTTATAAGTTTAAAAGCCAAAATCTGGTTTCCATCGGCGTCATTCCCATGTTGGAGTAGATAATAGTGATACTCAATTGAACCAATAATCTAACGGGCTCATTTTATTTAATTCAGCAACGGAATACACGAAGAACGGCTTTTATTACTTTATTATTGTGTTCATTACACAGCTCCGCTTAATTATAAATGGGTTTAGTTATATCGATATCAGATTGAAATTTGAGCTTGAGATGCGTAAAGCTAAGATAGCAAACGCGTTTCGAACTAAAATTGATATTTATATGACACCAGAGACAAACCAAACTTTAGTCTTTTATAACTTACTGGCTTCAATTTTTCAGATTTTTTAGGATGAGTTCAATAAGTTATAAATTTAAAAGGAGATTTCTAATTTTCCTCGGTAATACTCATACCATGTGATTAAATCAGAAGGTAGTAATATATCAACAACCTGTTACTACATATATTCCATTGCAAAATTTTGCAACGGCATTTGTTAATTCTACACTTGCTTTAATATGTCGTTGTTTTGATGGATAAGCGTCGTTAGTGTTAAGATATGATCTAACACTATTTACACCTTTTTAATTTTGCCCGATCTTTTTTACCATATATGTTTTATGCAGTGTAATACTTCTGCCATTTGTGATCATGCAGTGTTGTGTTTATTAACCATGTGTGTTTGTCGATATGTATATTTTTGTTAATTTGTGCCATTATTGTGCATAAGATCGTCTAAACAATTTCCTCTTAATATATATAAAAGGAAATTTTTCCTTGACCTTTTTCTAATACATATACATACACATATACATATACATACACATATACATATACATATACATATACATATACATATACATGTATATATAAGCTATGACTACTGGCTTCGTTTGTGCTTATCGTTGTTTTTTTGTTAGATAGCGCAATGGTAATTGTGTTTTGCGTGTTTTTGTTAGTCGGGATTTCGCTTTTGTTGAAAAAAAATGTTTTTTTTGTTCGGATTTTATGCCGGTCTGATTAAATGATAATCACTATAAATATTGATAACCTCTGGGCGAGCCATATTTGTTCTCGGCGAACGAATGAACGAGAATCTGTGTTTTTTTTTTTTTGTTATTAATTATTAAGATAAATAATGTGTGTCCATCTTACGATCTGGTAAAAAACATGAATATTGTATCACTAAGTACATCCGACAATCGAATTTCCATTTGATACTATTACCACAAGCTGGATGATCCACCTCATTTGGATTCGTTATTTATTAATAACAGGTTTGTTCAGTATTAGGCAACTAATTGTGGGTTTTATCCTGTTTAATGATGTATGATGCGGAATGCGCTTGATTTTTTTCGTATGTATTTATAATGCCGGCCAAGCTGTATAATGCTGGTGGTTTTGACTTCTAATTATGAAATCTTCCGTAGACACTTGATATATTCTTAAGTTTGAATATTTTATAATAATGATTTACTACGCGTTACAGTTGTGACGTCCAGTGGGAGAGACTTTATTATATCGTTATTGATTTAACTGGGGTACGTCAACATTAAAGGATGAAAGCAAGTATGTTTATTATCACTTTCTATGTATCAAAGTACTGGTATCTTCTATTGTGTCCCAGACACTAACGGTACTAGTATTTCTATTTCCGCTGACCAACCTAGTAAGTTCCGAACTTACTAGAACTAATAATCCTCTATTCTCTCATTAACTAACTAAAAGACTCAAGAACTAGAATACATGACTTCTATGTATATCTATGAATAGACTCTAAATAAGCTATATCCTATTTAAAGACTAATTAAGGTATGCTTTATACTTCGCATAAACTATTAAGTTGTTACACGTAAAAGTATATCAAAGTATAATAATTATACTACGATGTATATATGTTATGCAAGCAAAAGTTTAATTTTGAAACTTTGTTGCGTCACACCGTATCATTCTGAAATATCCGGGACATTATTTCATAATGATACAGTAATCCTGTTTACTTGAGCTCTGATCGTTACTATTCAAACCTGTAACCATTTGACCACTATTATCTAATCATATTGATTACGAAATCTCCTGTAGATGCTTGATATATTCTTATGTTTGAATATTTTATAATAATAATTTACTATGTACTACTATATCGTTCTGAAATAACGCGGGTCATTATTTCAGAATAATACGGTAATCCTGTTTACTTAAGCTCTGATCGTTACTATTCGAACCTGTAACTATTTAACTACTGTTATCTAATCATATTAAATTATTTGTGTAAATTAAGTTATATTGCTCGAATTAGTTCGAAGCTGATCTCATAAGCGAATAACTTCACGATATGTGATTTTTCTCTTTTAATTAAATATGAATTTATGCGTGTAGGGTATTCCAGCCAACAAAAACTTTTGACTAATGTGTTCAGGTAAACGTAATTGATTGTCATATGCGTAACTAATCTTAAAGCAGAGTTTGAAACTTGGTCTATGTGTGTATTTCAAAACAATGTTTTAACAGGTTCCAAGGCACATTCTGACCAGTTTGAGTGTGTTAACATCCCTGGTATTATGACAAAAACTTGTAATCTGATGTAGCGAATGATCAAATGAAAAAGTATATATTAGATATATATATATACGCGTACGTACGAGTTTACAACTGTTTTTTTTTATTGTCCTTTATAAGATATGAGATACTCACCGGTTATTATAAGTTTCAAGCATCACAATCTTCAAACTATTACTATCGATCCTGTTGATGTTATATGGACTCACCGCTCTCAAGTACTTTCAATAATCTGTGTCGTGTATTCAACCTTACTCAGAATTCCTAAAGTTCACAAGATTTACAAGATTCATCAATTCGCCATGTATCTCGGCTCAGTTTATAAGGATTACACCAGATTTGGGGTTGAGGAAGATGAAAGTATTATTCTTCAGAACTGCCAGAGCTTTTTTTACACTTCTAATCAAAAGCTAAAGTGAGATTTATTTCTAAAGTTATCCGCAGTAACATTTACAACTTGTTAAATAATTTTGCCCAATTGAAAATCATGTCATCTGTACAATGCCTCCATTTAAATTTTGCTAAAACTGTTCTCCCTGATAATCAATTAAGTCTTTTCTTTAATTTTATTGATGATTCTCCACTTAGCTTTGATTCTTCATCTGAATCTCTAATCTACGAATTTGTTTGTCAAATGATTTCAGATTGTTGAACTTATATGTATAGTTTCCAATTATGTAATTAATTTTGGTGTTTATTTAAAATTAATGATAATATTAACAGATCTTAATACAATCATTTACGTGATATTGTGTGGTCACCAATAATCAGGATTGATGCCTTTATTGTCTACCATTTTCAATCGTGTTCCAAAAGTTTTGTATTGTCAGGTGGATATTTTAACAGTTCTTGATTCTACTGGGTAGAAAAAATAATCCATTTTTTAATTAAAACAAATTTCGTTAATTAACCAGTTGTATAAAATTTGTTTACTATAGACCTTATTGGGAAAATAATAGAGTTTATTCTGAGTGTAAAATTTTTCTGATGTTTATTAGTTTAAATTAAACAATTCAAGAAAGTACGCGCTAAGTGCAATTCTGTTTGCTGCAAGATATAGTTAGTTAAGCTTTATCTTCATAAAATAATAAAGGCCCAAGGAAACATAAAAATTAGTTAATATATTAAGATTAGTTTGTAAGCTAGTATTTCGTATAATTAATTAATCGATCCTAAAATATGTAAAAAATGTTTATTAATATAGATTAGTAAAGTTATATGTGATAATATTTGATTTAAATAAATATATCTTAAGATTTTCTGAGTATCTAAAAATCTACAAAATCACCTGATTTATTGCAACCCGCTGTAAATTGATTTGCGATAAAAATTCTTTTCTTTATACAATGCTTGATATTGGGATAAAATAAAAATATATATAAAATTTTAAACCCGGTTTGTCAGAATTTTAATCAATTTAGTATTAAACCAGTTTGGTTGCGAGTGAGCTCTATAGCAAAATTTTGATTTACGTTTGATTACATAAAAAAAAATATGATTCAAGGTGCGTTTGTATTGTGAAGCGTTGATAACAAATTCCCTATAAAAGAGATGATTGTTTTCTTAAGTTTCAGGATGCCTCTTTGGCTAAAAAAAAAATGCTATCTACAATAACAATAGTATGTTACATTACCGATAAACAAGAATCCACCTCTAACAAAACCTTTACCATTGTCAGAGCCGCCGAGATAATGCATCCTAGAAGCAGAGCCGCTGCACTAAACATTCTTTTGGTGGGTTTTTACTCGCAAGATACAACTCAGGATTTGGCCTTGGCCCCCTTTTCAACAGAAGACATACTCTTGGTTACTGGTAAATTCCGAATCATCGAAGACGTGGATGAAGCTAGGAAAAAAATCCCTATCTTGAAAGTAAATTCTAATATAAACTAGATGCTGTAAAAAAATGCCAAATTGACACCTTTTCCAAGAAAAAAAGTGGTTTTATGTGAATTGATTTGAAGTAAAATCATTATCTTTTATTTATAGCACAATAGTATTTGTATAAATAAAAATTTTCAGTATAGCCCTTTATAGTTTGTATTTTTGACTAATGATTTTATAAGATTTATGGCATAAAAATTATTCTTTGAGTAACTTATTTTGTCAATTTGATCTTTTTTCAAAATCTACTCAATACAATTTGTAATTTTGATTTCCCTATCTCTTAGGTACTTGAAGTTGAAATTTTGTTTAACGTTATCCACAGTTTCACCAAAAAATTTATTAACAAAAGAAATGAGAGTTTAATCAATATGATGGCCAGCATAGCAGTCGGGCTTTCTCAGCTTACTTTCGGGATTTCTCGATACACTGTTTAATTTTGTGTTTGTTTAATTTTCATCCCTCCCCTCTGTTATAATTATGGAAAAAAATAATGTTAATCGAGGTTTTAATTTCAAGTCACCTTATCAAGAAATGAACCTTACTATTTTTAATTTCTTATTCATTAAGATCCTTATGTCCGAAATCTTCCTATTGATCCGAGCGAATTACCAGTATTCTCTATCCTGATAAACATGACTGCCATCATTATTGAACCTCCTCAGGTGGAACCTGATGATATTACTTTGACTGTTGAAGCTAAGGATTATATGGACCAAGATAATGTTACTATTAAATTAGAATGTTATCACCTGAAATCTGCTCAACACCTTACGCTGACTTCTTCTGCGGTAAAGACAGGATCCGTCCTTTTTATAAGCAGTGAATTCATGATCGTTGATGACACTTATATGGTTCATATTCATAGCATTAACTTCGTTGAATATCAAAAATCAAATGTAAATAACATCAATTTAAAAAAACCCTCTGCCAACCTTCCGTGGTTAAATGAAGCTCCGGTGAATGAATCGACCACTGAATCAGTTGCTCGAACAATTGCCTCGAGAGTCAAGACTGGTAGATGAAAAAAACCTTCGACAACAACAAAGCCGTATTTTAGGGTAAAAGATAGACCAAAGGTTTTTGATCTTGCCAAAGATGCGTTGATCCAGGATCGTGATGATGAGGTTTCAAATCCATCAAACCCTTGAAATATTTGGGGCTTTCACTTTTTTTTTTTTCAAATCATTAAATCATTTTTTTCAAAAAAAATTATTTTATGATTGTTTGATTTTACTATTTATTGGTTCAATAAAGATTAAACAAGTTTACTCATACAAAATTAAATTATTATATGTCTAAAGCACGTAACACATAAAAGTTGTAAGCATGTTATTTAGTCCAAAGATATGTCCTTTAAAATTAATGTAGAAATATACAATCGATTATTGTTATAACAATCCTTCCTATAACGAGCTCTTATGGCAAATTCAAAATTTGTAAATTTCATAATGGTTCGATGTAAAGATGACAATGTTGTTAGGAAAACATTGAAATTTACTAATAATGACCTTATTTTTCTTCAACATGTTCTGTTCGTCATTAAAGTGTTGTTTATATCTATTGTTATTTACTTTAACTTGGTCCAACGATTCACTGTAACGAAGAGGTGAAAAGATTTACACTATGGCTTGTCCTGTTGTGACCAGGGAAGAGACTTTGCATCCGTGTTCACAGTTTGGCTCGGAGTCATAAGCATTAAGATAACAAATCATGTATCTGTTATCACACACAAGGCACCAAAAATTATTAATAATATATTCTAACAGTGCACCCAGTACACTGTAGTCTTCTAAATTATCCCTTGTTCCAACTAAACCTAAGGAAATTATTCCTAAAAACCTCTAAAACCCTTCTAAAACTATATTAAAAAACTTTCCAATAACTTACTATCCAGATTTTTACAACTCTTTGTTGATATCTACTATTAGGTTCTAATTAGACTATCACAAGAATGTAAAGTATGAGTTTATTCTAAAATATCATGATGATCGGTAAAGTATATTAGTATTATTACTTCGATCAGTACTTAATTATATACTAAACTATTATAATGTTACGTAAATAAATGTATGATTGTTAACCATGTTACACTTTTTCAAGAAAATGCCTCGCGTACTTCATTGAAATTAATGATTTCGTGATTCAAATTATTTGTAATATCGATTCTTCGCTGTATTGAGGGTTCACGATAATATGAATGAATTGTATTAAAATGTACTATATACTAGATAAATGGTGATCCTAATATCATAAATAATATAATAAAATTGATACATTAAGACTATGAGATACTTACTTTATGATATTTTGAATTTAAGGGATAATTTTGAACTTTATTTTTATTTAGTTATTATGCATCTAGCATGCGATTTGTGTAAGATTAAAAGCTGTAAATAATTTAATGAAATGGCATGTTCGCCTCATTGTTGAAAATTCATGAGACAGTATGATGATTTTTGTGAACATATTTTTGTTTTTTATCATGTTCACATTAAAAAAAATAATGTTCATAAATAAAATTTTATTGATTAAATAGAAATTATTTATGTTCACAAATGTGAACATAAAATAAAAAAATTTTGATTTTTTTAAAAAACTTATGCTCTTGTGAACACTGTGAATATATGATTTCCAACACTGGTTCACCCTACAATTACAATTACAATATCACATATCTTACACATAAATCTTAAAAACTTACATTAGACTGTAAAAGTATTTATGTGTCATTAAATTAAAACCAATATGCCAAATTCCCTTTACATATTATGAATCCCATCTACATCTGATTTATAGACATTTTCATAAAATAGTAGTTTCGCTTTTTACAATTAAAACTCTATCCTGTGTCTTGATCATTCAGCATGAAGATCGAAAATTAATTTCCCAAATTTTTTAGCACATCACTGACTTCACATACATTTGAATTTGTAACGATTTCATTAACTAACACGTTTACATTACAATTAGCATATGATCGCGTTTTTCATGTCTGAAACTCTAATAACATGAATACAATAAATTGATCAGCTTGTCAACGAAATGACAAACCAATTATTATTGTGATATCTAGATACCTTATTGCAGGTCACGTGTAAATAAGTTTTTATCCTTTTAGGGAAGTATGCTATGCATAATATTTTATATTCTTGTCAAATACAGGTATTGTAGTAGATTCATGATTGCATATGATGATTTTAATTAATGTTTTTTAAAAGTCAATAACCTGTAATGGGAAATAATGAAAGTGGTTAAGGAGTATGATGATTTTTAAGGAGTATGTTATGAATTTTGTATCAAGCAGAAAGGAGCGGAAATGATACGATAGATTAATATTATCTAAGTATGGTTCCCTACAGGGCTTTTCAGCTATTCTTCTGTTCGCTATCGCTTGCCTTAGCAAGACTGTCTCTATCGTTCCTCCCTGCTCGCTCGCCGGTTATTTGTTAAGTGGCTTAGAGGCTTAGAGTAACGCAATGACCACTATTGAACTCAACGGCATTAATGTGGTGCAATAATTATACTCAATGAGTTATTACTAGGTCGACTCTCTGAGCTGAAAAGTTTCGTTTCTCTTGTAAAGGGGTTTTCTATTTTTGCAATTAAATTCAAAGTTTGGTACTTGGAACATACCTTCGGGAAGATAAAATGCCTTAGAGTCAGAAATGTTAGCTTTCTTATGTAACATTGTAATAGCTTATCCTGTTATTAAGTATTGATCGAATTACGTAATTACAATATTGTACTTTGTCGATCATTATGACAT